TGATTTATTAAAAAATACGGATTTTTATTTATAATCATAGCAATAGTCATTTCTCCAATGAAGAACTCCGATTACCTTTCGTCCTTTTACAGTAGAGACTTGCAGGAGTAGAATCACATAAGCCACTTGCTCTTCCACTTCCATAGGAGGAGGAGGGAAGGAATGGAGCTAGATTTCCCCCCAAGACTGCTGTCCTAGCAGTCTCCTACCAAGCTAACATCCTCTTCCCACTGCCTGCTAATGAAGTCTGCCTTGTAGTTCCAATGGTAGAAATCTGTGCTGTGGTATTGAAGGTGCTGGGTATCAAGTGGATATCAAATAATACATAATTAAGAGATTCTCTTGGATGTAGTTGTAACAACTTCCTTTTTAAAAAGAAAAAGAAGAAAACCTAGGAAAATACACTAAAAATTGCATTTGAAGAGTGATATTCAGATTACACATTCAAAGGTGAGTTAGCCATCCAAGGAATGTTTTATTTTCCTGATCAAATTCAGCTCAGAGCTGAGAAGAGGAAAAAAATGCTTAGGCCAAAAAAAAGGGCTGAATTCTGCTCTCTTTGGGTGTCTGTACACAAGTGTGGAGGATGCTCTGACACGCTGTAACTACAGAGCATTGGAGCAGACTCAATTAATCGAGTCTGCTGGAGCGTGGTAATTCCTGTGCTCCAGCAGCCTCCTATGTCTCGTGTATCAGTGTCCCTGAACTTCAAAAGGGCGGTGGGGGCACTTGAGTTCAAGCCCCTGCCACCATTTTGAAGTGTGGTGATGCTGATACATGAGCTGCTGCAGTGCTTTAAGTAGAGTGGCTCTCAGAGCTGCTCTAATTAAAGTGCCAACCCCCCCACCCCTGGAGCACATATAAAATTGCCCTTCTTCTCCAGCCTCACTCCAGTGACTTGATGGCATCCCTCCCGATTTACACTGCTTCAGATGAACTCATTCATTAGCCCTTTACCCAATTGTGGCTAACATGACTGTTGCTGGGAGTAATTGTGTTAAATACTTTAATAGCAAAATTATTTTAAACACCGTTATCCTACTAACCTCTTTTTCATGTATTTTTCTTCCAGCTAGTGCCACATACTATGTGCCACTTAGATTGCTCTTGGACAAATTCCTTTATATGCCTCGTCCAGACTATATGGAGGAGTTCAAACTTTATGCAACTAGTGAAATAATGATTTCTGCTGAGTATAAGCTGAAGGGCTGCATAGATGAACTACCCAAAGAATACAGGTATGCTCTTGATGGTACTTTTCATCCTTTCCTATTTATCACAATCTAACTCTAATTCAAAGAGTTCTGGATGTTTTATTACATACATTTGACCTGGCTCCGAATATACCTTGGGTTAATTAAAGTTCTGGACTTATGACAACTATTACTAGAAACATTTTAAGAAATTCACTTGATTCCATTCTGTTAAATTCTCGCAGCATGTTTCATTCCCTGAGAGAGAGAGATCTCAAAAGTCAGCAGTCAAGATGAGACGGGGTGGGGACTGCAAATCTGAGGGCAGCAGACTCAATTCTTCAGTGTGAAGGCCAGGAGAAGAGAGAAAAAATGTGGACCCAAGGGGAGGTCCAGATCTAGGGAAGACACTAAGTTTTACAGAGGGGATGTGTGACACACCCAGGAGCAGTCATGACATCCTGGGTGGCCATGCAGCTCCTGCCTTGGTCTGGCTCCCAGGATACTCCCCGTCTTCTCATGTCTACCACACCTCTGTTGGAATAATTTGATTACAAAATGGGAGGCTGCTCCAGGGTCCCAGAGCAAGCCCTTGTCTATGTTTTGGTGGGTGGGTCCCTTGGGTGGGTCCCTCCCGGACCCAGCTGGTCCCCGTCCTGTCTCGTCAGCACTATGTGGTACCCGCCTGGCCCTTTCTGTTCTCTCAGACACCAGTTGCCTAAAGGGCTATTTGTAGCCTCCTTCCACCCCTATAGCCCCAGCCATGCTTCTCAGGTGTTATCAGTTATCATTTTGGTGGGGCACCTTGCCCCAAGACAGTGTCAGGCCTCCATGCCCTTGTTGGGGCCTTTGCAGCTTCTGCCCCTTTGTCTAGCTGGGTTTCTTTACGTAGGCCCAGTGCACCAGGCCTATGCTCCTGGGCTCCAGCCCCTATCTTGCCTGTCTTGGGCTCTGGTCTCTTGGCCCTGGTTCCTTCCCCTCTCAGGCTTTGGGCCCCTTGACTTGGTTCCTGTCTCTCGGGCTTTGGGCCCCCTGGTCCTGGTTTTGCACCTTGGGTCTGGCCCTTAGTCCTCCCAGCCTCAGGTCAGCTCTGTTGCCTTTCCAGCCCCTGGTTTCTGCCTCTCTCAGGCTTTGACCCTTTCTGCCTCAGCCTGCCTATGTCACAAGTCCTGGCAGGGCTCAAAACACCATGTAGTATTTGGGTACCACTGTGGCTTAAGCCTCAGTGCACCCTTAAGATGCCCCACTGTGGTGTCCTCGTCACCCCTTCTAGCCATACAAAATCCACCGGTATAATTAGAACAAAAAAGAAAAACAACTGCTTAACACAAAACCTCCTTCTGGGTAAAGAAACATGGGGAAAGAAAAAGGCATGCTCTCACTTCAATAGAAACTTCTTCCCGCTCAGGGTAGGCAAGCAAATGAAAGAGGAGCCTTCATCCCCTGAGTTTTCACTGCTCTTGGTCTCACAAGCACTCTGTACCTATTTTGTAGCTGTGTTGGCCTGAGAAAGACATACACAAAGCTCTTGGGTCAGAGGCAATATCTATTAGACCAACTATTTTGGTCTAGTAAAAGATATCTCACCTTTGACCCAAAAGCACTGTGCATCTCTTGTAAGCCCTTGGTATTTAAATTTGACTATATGCTACTAAAGTCAGAGTCCTGATGGTAGCAAGACTGCAGTATGCCAAATGTGATATCAAAGGAAAATGTATTCACATTAATACACATTTAGAAAGAAAATTCCTATCACTAGCATGACTGGCAGAATGACAAGGAAAGGAAGATGCTGAATTTTGTCAGGCTTGCTTTTTCACATGAGGTAACTCAGGTAACAGTGCTCCTTGGTATTTACTTTAATCAAAAAATATATCAAAGTCAAAGCCTGAATGTCAGTGATCAGGTTTGTGAATAGGTGCTTTTGCTAACCTACCTTGAAAATTCACATGCTATATAGAAACAAAATTTACTTCCTGCTCGTGGCTGGACTTTATTAACATGAACATTAACAATTAGTTAAAGTTCAGCTCAAGCTTTTTCCTCAAGCTGGGCTGCTCCTAGGCTTCATGCATCTGAAGTGTTCAGCCCATGTCTTAGCACAGCTTCACAGAGAAAGCCTGCATGATCTTTATGTTCAGGGTGAGAGAGCACCTACCACTGAAATCAGCCAAATGAACTCTTCTACGAGAATCAAAATGTGCTAAAAGAGTGAATATTTGAGGGAAACGGTGCATTTTTTTTCACAGATACCTCCTTTAAAAACCTGAAGGTACCACCTGAATGAGAGAGGATTATTTGATATGAAAGCGGCAGCAGTCCTGGCAAAACAAGCACCACGGTGTTTAGATTCCTGGGATGGTTTAAAGGATTTGCAGTTGACAGAATGCTTCCCTCACATATGTAAGCACAAATTTATCCTGACCTGCAGCATATTCTGGCAGGAAATCAGTTGGCATAATCTGGCCACTACAGATCCATAGTGACAACAAAGCATAATAGCGTTATTGGAAGTGAGCGAGGGAGAGGAGGCAGGGAGCAGGCAGAATCACTAACAACCTTGTTTCAAGTTGCACCCCTGCTCTAACCACAAAGGATATGAAGACATAAGCAAGACATCATTATACTGCACAGACAACCAACGCAGCACACAGCTAGGATTGTTTCCTGGGACAAAATGGATTTCAGAAAGGACTCAAAAAGAAAATGATACATTTTCAACCGTTGTTCAGAGCCACAAAGGATGCTATGAAAACAACAAACAAACTAGCGAGAAAATTATAGAGAGATGAAAAACTAATTCCTTCCGCATCAGTAAAACTTACCAATCAGAAACCAGGAAACCTTCTACTTGAAACAGACATTGTCCAATAAGGACCTACACTGGTATTCCTGAAAACAAATCAGAATGATAAATTTTGCATAGTAGTCCTCACAACAGGCTTAATCCTTCTTTTCATGTGAAGAAAAGCCATCTCAAGCTAGTGTTTGGAAGACAGAAAATAAGAACCCTTTTCCCATTCATATCAGACACAAGTGCATCTAACCCAAAACATACACAAATTAAAACACATGAGAATGAAAAAAAAATGTTCTTATAAATACCGGGAGGAAAGGAAAAGTAGCGACTGAGCATGGGAATTAGGAGTACAGCCTCTGACTCAGCATGGAGGTTGCAAGTGGGAGAGGAACAGTGGGGGGAAAAAAATCTTATAAAACACAGAAAGCTGGCCAGTCAGAATCAGAGCTACAGAAACATTTTGTGCAAAATGAGGATGCACACTCATCTTAAGAGTTCCCTTGCTGACTTCAGTTTTCCCTTTCTTTTGCTGTGCTTTGACGTCACTAATTACGTTGATTGACAAGGACCTTCGAGTCCTGGACTGAGGGAGGAAGGGAAAAACATCCAGCAAGGAGATAAGACAGCAACAGAGATAAATCATGCAAAAAATGAACAGTTTTTCAGTATAAAAAACTGTAGGTTTGGCCCCAATTCTTTGCATCTCTGTGCGATTACTTCACAAGTACGCAGGCACATCGCTAGCTGCACTAAGTTTCTGTGCATCCCAGGGAATGGTGTCAGCATGAATTATGACACAAAGAAAGAGAGACATTATGCTTTGCTGTTCCATTCCCATTGTAATCAGCAGGTGAATGGGGAGAGGAAATTTACATTTTGCGTCCGTCAACTCCATTGACAAACATGGCTTGGGTTCAATTTTAATAAGCCTGTGTGACCCGTCACATAACCTTGGAGGAGGAACAGATCTGGCTGCCTCAGATATAAATGGGGATGAGGCAGAGCTCCAAGCTGAATGAATTGGCTTTTGAACTTTTAGGCTCAACACAAAATAGCTGACTCTACCATGAAGCTGACGGCTGTTGTTCTGCTCGTCACTCTGGCATTTTGCTGCTTCTTTGGTAAGTTTTACTAATATTATGAGCAGTGGTGGGGTATATGTTTTAAGAACCCAGGCAAAGGTTCAAATTCTCTTTTCCAAACAATTATGCTTAAAACTAAAATGGCTGCAGGGCACAAAACAGCTACAGGTTATGTGCCTCATGGCAACTCCAAAAGCAGCTTTTTCTACTTTAGCTGCAGCAGTCTTCTATAAGTTTGGAATAGTCTAGCTTTTGACAAGTGCAATGTACTTGAAGTATAACTTTAATGCTTTGGGGGACCCTCACTGGTTCAGTGCAATTGCACAGTTTGCACTTCCTTCAAAAATATTCTTCCTCAACATAAGAACATTAAAAGTGCCATACTGGATCAGACCAATGGTCCGTCTGGCCCAGTATTCTGTCTCCAACAGTGGTGGGGTGGATGCTAGAGAAAGAGAGAACTGTGAACTGGATATATCCAAGGTGATCTATCCCCTATTTAATACCTTCCCTCACATCCCATCAATATTGTATTAGAGATGCCAAAGGAAATATCTCTGACTGTTCTGTTCAATATCCATTAGTAGAGCTATCATCCATTAATTTTTTAACCCAGCTATGCTATCTGTCTTTACCACTTCCTGTGACAATGAATTGCAAAAGTTAAAGCATTGGGTAAGCAGGTACTTTCTAGTGCCCCCTTAGGTCTAGTATTCGGGGACTTGGTGAACTAGTTTCACTTGGTCCACACCCTTCATGATTTCACCCTCGGTCATATTGCCTCTCAGCTATCTCCTTTCCAAATTGAACAGTCCTAGTCTTCTTAGTCTCTACTGGTATGGCACTTGCTCCATGTCCCTTATAATTTTGATTGCCCTTCTCTGTGCCTTTTTAATTCTACTACATCCTTTTTGAGATGTGGGGACCAGAACTGCATACAGTATTCAGGATGTGGGCGCACCATGAATTTGTACAAGGGCTTGTTGATGTTCTCCATTATGTTTTTGGTTGCGTTCTTAAGATGCCCAACATTTTATTGACTTTTTTGATCTCTGCTGCACACGGAGCTGATGTTTTTAGAAAACTATCTACATTACAAGGACTCCAAGGTCTCTTTCCTGAAATATAACAGCTAGTTCAAAAGCCAGCTTTCTGTGCGTATAGTTGAGAATATTTTTCCCCGGGTGAATAGCCTTGCACTTCTTGACATTGAAGTTCATCTGCCAGTTTTTTTGCCCACTCACTTAGCTTTGTGAGATTTTTCTGCAACTCCCTTCCACTAGCTGACCTTACCTCAAGCCACATTTTTATTAAACCTCTAAATTTCAGACCTCATAAGCATCAAACTGTGCTGATCTAATAAGCATCTGATACAGGTAGATGAGAAAATAGCTGATAGACATTTTTTACATGCTCATTTGAACTTTCATCTAAATTTTCTGGGGCTAAATGTCGGTGCATCCTCACTGGCTGAAAATGTACATAATACCAGCTTGAGTCCTCTCCCATTCTAGAGATTTTCAAAGCTAACCAAGGGAGTTAGCCTTCCAGTGGCTCTGCAGTCTCAACTTGTGACTTGCTTTGCCTCCCCGAAAATTAAGTAGGCTCACTCTACTTACCATTCTGTAGCTAACATTACCTCTAAATTTGTTTAATTGAGTCTGAATTAAAGGAGTTAAGGTTTGGGTAGCATGCAAGCTGCAGGGTCAAAGGGCAAGCATGAATAAGGGAAAGGAAGGAGCTGATGAGGGAAGAGGGCGTATGGTATGCAGAAGCATAGCAGAGCAACTGGGCCCCCTCAGCAGTGGTCATGCACAGGGGCAGCAGCAACTTCTGGCTGTCAGTGTTGCACACAACCGCAGCAGTTGATATTATTTTTTCACCCCCCCACCCCCCCCAGCCATGTGGTTGCCCTACCTTAGTTACACTGCTAATGGTATAGTAGATAGCTTGCTTTCACCCTCACACTTTTATGACTCAGTGAGGAAAGCTACATCAATGTAAACTCCCTCTCATGTGTTGTTGAGTGAGTGTCAGTATGTCTAAGGCCTGGCTCTCCAACTGGCAGCCTGTGGACAGCATCCAGCCCCCAAGGGGTTAACCTGCAGCCCCCAGGGCGCTCAGACTAGAAGCCACTGTTCCTGTCACTCCAGCTGTTGCTACTGCCCAAGTTTTTGGGCTCCCCTCCCTCCTCCAATGCCCATGGCTTGGTGGGGCCCAGGGATCCTGTCTTGTAATGCAGTAGTGTCAACACAGTAAAGAGGTGGTTGGAGGGGGAACAACCATGGTGCTGTGGTGGGTGAACATGGTGTGTGTGGTGCATAAGGGTGCAGGGTTGCCGGAACAGTGCAGTGGGGTGGGACATGCCCACTACACAGTGCAGAGGCTGATGTGCAGCATGGCCTGGTGGGCAGCCTGCACCCCTGGTTACTGAGAAGTTGGACAACCCTGATCTAAGGAACTCTGAGTCTTTGAATCTAACTTAAGGCAACACAGTTGTCTCTGGTGTAACTGAGAGCAGCCTTGCATCTCTCTGAAAGCTGAAAAACACTGAAGCTGAGATGATGTAAATTGTACCCAGTTTATTCTTTGAGGGGTGGGGAGGGGGAATACAGGAGGACAGCAAGGGGGTTTGACACTTGTGGGAAATCTGCATCAAACCAGTAATGAGAATGGTAACTGGGCTGTTGGCGCCCTGGTTAAACGTTGTTTTCTCTTTTGTGCTCCAGGCACAGTTTCTGCTCGTGAGATTCTCCCTGGTTTTCTAAATACACTTCTTGAAGGCACACTTGAACAACTTTATGCTGGGCCAATTTCCCAATACAGGATTGATGATGTGACTAAAGCTGCTTTAGCTGCACTGAAGAAATGCATTGAGTCTCTCTCTCAGGAACATACAAAGGCTCTTGTCAAGCTGCTGGTAATTCACTCTTCTTATGTTTTATTGCCAGGATAGGCTTGCATCAGTCAAAACAGTGAGTTTCTGACTATTCTATTTCAAACAGCATTTAGCTAATATATCATGCAGTGGGAAAACCTAAACCATTTCCTGTGACTGGGCCATGGAAGTGGCCCTCCCTGCTTCTGTCAAGCTTGTGACCCCAAATACGAACAGAAATCATTGAAATCCCCTTGGGCTAATAACACCACATTTAAATTGCCATGACATCATTTAGGATCATGACCCCTATTTTGGAAACCACTGAGAACTCTAGAAGATGGGATAAAGATTCCTAGGTTTTATTTCCAGTTCTGCGATTGCACTGGGTGCACTTGGACAAGTGACGTACACCTTCTCTTCAGCTTCTCCATCTGTTAAAACAAAGATGAAAATATTTACAGTATAGATAATTTGTGCAACTTAAATCAATCAATCAATGTTTATAAATGCTTTGAGATAATTATATGTGAAGTCATTTATACTGGTAACACAAAAGATCCTATGATATATAATAGGACAGTATTATTTTGATAGCTATTTTACCTTACTGTGTTGCATTTACATGAAAGATCCCAGTGAATATCATCAAAAAGAGACAGGGGCACAAAACTGAATGTGGCACTGGAAGAAAAGATACTTGTCATTTTTCCAAAGGAGGAATTATTTCTTTTTTAAAAAATTCCAGTAGCATACTTCACCCCTTCAGTAATCATATTTGCAAGTTATTTATCAAGAAAGCGCAAACACCAGAACTGGCTGGTAAGCAATTGGGTTATATATCAAACCAAAAAGAAGAGATTTTTCAAGTTTGAAGATTTATTATGAAGATATTTGCTTCCAAAAGGCAATAGGGCCTGGTTGATGCAGGTGCAGTTATAAGAACAAGCCAAATACTGTATTTAATTGAGCACTTTATTATAGACAATTACAGGCAAGATTCCAACCACTGTGTCACATATGCCTTTGTTGGGGGTTACAAGTGAACACACAATATATGTATGTGCACATGCCTTATGGAGGGTTGTAGGCAAGTGCCAAATGTTTTGTCCATGCACATTTTTCAATTTTTATGGGTACAGTGTACAAATAGAGTATTGCAAGACAATTGGAGGTAAAGTGCCAGTGTTTCAGCTTCATATATTAAATGATGGTACAACCATGCATCTTTTTAACAGATGACTTATAATAAAAAACTTTGCCTATGTTTTCTCAACTTACTCCATTATTTGATTCTTCTATTAGCTGGTGCTGTAATTTTTTTTTTTTTGGTTGGCACCATACAGATGTGAGTGGATTCATAAAAGTCTGACAGCCTAAAAACTGTATGAGGATTTATTACTTGATCTCATTTATATGTTTTAGATCACCGTGAGGGAGTCATTTTTTATCTCAATGAAAGCAAAGTCTAGGTATTCAAGGTCTTACCCAAAGAACCTTGGTGTGCCTATGTCCTTAAACCAACGCAGCTACAACCTACACTCCTGAAGTCTAGGTCTTATGTTTTAAATGATAAATCCCAAGATTCTTTTTTTTTTTTGTAATTCATTTAATAAGGAAAATGTGAACATGAAGTAGTCAAATAGCTATTAGTAGAATGGCTGCAACCTTGCTTCTCTTGTATGTAATTTGATTACATTAATTAATTCATTTGTCTTGAGAACACTTTAGATCTCATTAGATAAGGAGCTGCATGCAAAAGACAAATGACTTGGCTCCACACGAGCAACACTGTATTTACTCAAAACATAAAGAAAGTTTGGTGATGCTGAATCCCTGTTATTTCTCTCTGTTTGAATAAATACAGTTTGGTGTCTATATTCTTCTCACTGTGGGTGCTACCACAGCACATCTACATGTGTAAATAATCCAGGAGCAGTTTACTCTCAAGTAAACTACTCAAGAGTAAATTCTCCCAGGCACGTGACTACACATGCAGGGACGTGGGAGAAAATTTGCAGTTTCTAGCAGCAGACCACTCCTGCTCTCTGCAGACCTACAGCAGCCCCTTGCAGCAGCCAGGGGGAGCTCTAAGATCCCCCTGGGTGCTAACTTCCCTACCAGGAAACCGGTCTTCAGTTGTGATACTCAGGCTGAGAGATCCTTATCTCCCAAGTAGCAAATTTACTCACAATTAAAGCCAATTACTGCACAGCAAGCATCTGCACATGTAGACGTGGATGCTTGCTGCACAGTAATTAGCTCTACTACATGGTAAACCATCTCGTGTAGACACACCCCTAGTATACTACAGAAATAGCAAAGTAGCTATAGGAAAATGACAGTCTTCATTCAAACATCCATCTCCGAGGATGTAAGTATTGGACCAAATCTTTAAGCCCTCTCTTAAGCAGTAGCAGTCAGACCTTGCTCCAACTAAACTCCTACTGACTTCAGAGTGAGCCTTTTCTGATGGAAATCTGGAGTTTGCCAGTTACCCATGTCAGTTGTAAGACACTTATTATTGAAAGTGTTTTTTCAAGGCTTTGTAAATGAGGCTCAAAGGAGCCAGGTGACTTTCTGGAGGTCATGTTATAATGACAGCTAGGAACAGAAATCGGAAAGCAGAGGTCTCCTATTTCCATATGTGAAAACTAGTAGCGTACTTAGGATAAGAAGTCTGTGGCACAGCAGCAGAAGTAGCAGCGGTGACTGGGAAGGGGGCAGGCAAGCCACATCATGGCAGTAACTGCTAGGGACTTTGAGTCTCCCAGGGCCGGTAAGAATGACACCCTCAAAACCTACTAGTTACAACTGTGGTGAAAACAGCAGTAATTCTGTTGCTGCAATTACAAGATAATTTTGGTGATAATAGCCTACTGTAGCTTACTAACACTTGATTTCTTGACTCTCCATATGTTTAGTCATTTTACCCTTGCTTTATACATGCTTCCTTCCAAAAGTTCCCATGACAAAACTATGGCCCATCAAATGATTAGGCTGACATGATTTTATATCCAAAGATGCTATTAGTCTGCTGAATTTCAGAAGTGCTTTCTGAATGGTGTTTTGTCTTGCATTCTCTTTTTGAGATTTTCTGAACTCACATTCACTGCTATTACTTTCTGTTTCAGAAAATGATTCGGTCAGAAGCCTAAGTGACAAAGTCTTTCCTTGGAATTCAGCTCTGATAACACAAAATGCTGACTGCCAATTGCCAGTATCCAGCCACTGAACCAACAATGTTCCAGAAATTTGAGGAACCTAGAATAATTGCTTGCATGTTGCTGAAAGCAAAGGCTGCCTTCTTCCTACATTCTAAGTACAGTTTCTTCAAAGACAACTATGTTCTGTAGAAACCACAGATGACGTTTCCAAACAATTTTTATTCATAGATTCATTGCAAGGCTGGAAGGGACCTCAGAAGATAATCAAGTGCAGCCCCCTGCACCAAGCAGGAAACACAGCTACTACCCAATTTAATAAATACATTTAGTTCCTCATTCACTTCCTTTTTAACTGTAAAGGAAATAATTCATTCCTGAAAAATACTGTAGCTTGGTGAAGTAATTTTTAGTGGTTTGTGGAAAAAATGTGAAAGATTGTTGCAACATTTTCACATCAATACTTGTTAAATATAGAAGTTGTGATCACAAATATAGAAGCTGTGATAGGATCTAATCCAAAGTCCATTAAATTCAATGTGAAGTGTCCTACTTATTTCATTTGGCTTTTGGATCGCACCCACAGTCATTAACCATAGAAAGTGTGTGTACAGGAGACCCATGTGTGCTCATTCTGAAGTGGTAAAGCTACCTTTCCTATAGTGTCAGCTATGACAACAGCCAGCTGCTGACAGAGCTCCCCTGACAGAGTCCTTGCAATACAGCAGTTTTCATATTTTTTCTTCAGATATATTTGCATAGGATACTGGAAGAGAGAGAGTGGCAGTTATGGCAAGGATATTCCACTGTGTATGATATCCTGTGTGTTGAAGCTAATTAAGAGATTACTCAGCACTGGCACCATACAGCCCTCAGAGTCCAACAACAGTTTACCTGGAAGCAAAAAGTACTACTGAAAGGAAACTTATAGGCACAGAAAGACAACTAAAAATGGCTTAGACCTTAAATCAGTAAGGGAGAATGGAAGCCAAGTAGTTGTGCGGAGTGGGGTATATATGACTGGGTGGCTTAGAATAGAGAAATATATGAACAAGTTTGAATCAGAGGGCACGTGAATGTGTTGGGGCTCAATGTGAGTGGTCATTAGTGAGTAAGTGGAGACCTGACAAGACTGAATTTTGGATGTCTTTGTGATGGAGGGAGGGAATGTGAGGAGGTCTGGGAAGTGGGAAGAGAAAGCAGGGAAAGA